TATATATATATATATACTATAACTTGGACCCTTTGGGCTAGAGTTCAAGAGTTGGGTTTGCAGCTGCATGGCCTTCGACTCCGAGTGCAGGGCCTGGGGAGTTGCTTTGGTTCCGGCTGTCAGGGCTTTGATTTAGGATCTTCCGAAAATTAAGGGTACCTTATTTTGGGGGGTCCTTATAATAAGGATCCTACTAGTTAGGGTGCTACATTAGGGTCCCCTATTTTCGGAAACCCCCATTTATGGGGTGGTCTAGGTGATTGTCGTGGCTATTGCCCCAAGGGTCCAAGGACCCAATAATCACATAAATTCCCAAATAGTAACTATACAACTACTATCCGAAACCTAAGTATCTTATTTTTGGGTCCTTTGGACTGTTAGGGTTGTTGGTTGCTGCTGACTGAAGACCTCGGGCTGAAATAGCCAGGCTCCCCTGGAGTAAAAACCTAACCCCAGCAACCCTTAAAGCCCTAGCCATTAACCATGGTCGCCTAAAGGAAGAGAGCTCTAGACCCTAAACCGAGGAAAATTTATGATTAGGTTTTAAGCCTAGACCCTCGATCCTAACACCTTTATCCCCTAAACCCCTCCTTAACTCTCCGGCGCTGAAGATCCGACAATCCCTGCAACTTCCATGCAGGCGGAATGACGTTGAAGTATCTCAGCCTCGACGCCGAGGCTGGGGATAGCAATGGCAATAGCAATGACATGTCGTAGCGATAGTCATAGTAATCAAGTAATAGTAATAGCAATAAGAATACGAACAAGAATTATGCGAATGGCTTTGTGAATCGACGAGGGTCTTGTGTCTTGGGATGCCTTAGAGGTTGTTTACTGACGCACGGGGTTCAGAGGTACCTCGTAGCAGAGGAATTCTTGCAAGTCGTGTGTGTCTCTGACAGAGGTGCGGCTCAGGCTGCGTTCAGTTTCAATGCTGTGGGCCTGCTTGCCTGGAATTCACCCTAAACCGCCTAAACCCCAAAGCCCAAACCCTAAACCCTAAACCGCCTAAACCCCAAACCCTAAACTATATAAGCCCAAGATTTTTCGGGCTTCACTCGGAGGGGCCCTCGTAGAGATGGATACAACGTCCATTTATCGAGTTTAATGAGATCCTAAGTATAAAGTTTGCCAAGCCGACAAACGGACTTACAATGGAGACTGCATTTAGAGCAGGAAGCCCGAACGCCACAACAAGGTTTTTTTTTATGTAAAAACAAAAAAGGAGCAACACAACTCCACCCTTTTTTCATGCCCTGCCTGGACCCTAAGAAACCTAGCTTTTTCTGGTAGGTTTCTTCGGGTCGAGTCCAGGTAGTAGCAGAGCCTCAAAACCCGAAAGCCCCAGTGCTGAGCCGGCAACGCTTTTGAGTTTCGACAGGTCCGATTTCGCGAGGTCCTGATGGGCGCGCGGGTGGGCATCTCAGCTCGTTGAAGACCTCGATGTTGCGTCTACTGTAACATCTGTACGTGTGGGTGCCTGGGGCGAAAACTCCAAGACTCTAAGCTCCGAAAGCTTCGAGTTGGTAGATCCTCACACTGCAAAGCCCCAGCACCCTTAAACCCTCAACTTCGAAACCCAAGCCCTTACATCCTGAAATCCTAAAGTCCCAAAACCCCTGAACCCCAAAACCCCTGAACCCCAAAACCCCAAAACCCCTGAACTCCAGTAAACCCTAAAGTCTCGGCTGCATCTGGAAGCCCGAGCTCGGCAGCTTCATGCCTTTCTTTTCCTCTCGGGCTTCAACAATGGCTCCAAAAGGGTTTAGGGCTTAAGGTGGATT